AATTGTGTTGTAAAAAAAAAAAAAAAAAAAAAAAAAAGTAAAAATCTTGGGTGACTCAAGTAGAGTCTTGGTGGGGTTGTAATTTTTTCTTTTATTAAATAAGCATTTGTGCTTTATATGAAGAGCACACCTGTTTTCTGATCAGCACATACCATTCTTAAATTTACCTACTTACACTTGAAACAGCTACTCCTTTTAATAAGACAAATGAATCTGTAGGAGACTTAAAATGGTAGTTCTTGAATTAAAGGTATTGTATGCTTAAATTCTCCCTAGGATGCATATCTGTCCTTGCCTCTGAAAGAGGCAGATTGGCTTAGAAATCTGCTCAAATCAGCTCAGTTCAGATGTTGACTCTGTGACAATTCTGGAATGACTCTGTGTTGACAGCTGTAATCCAGAGCTATGAAAACTTCCTTACAGTTCTAAAAACTGTATTTAAAAAAAAAGAAGGAAAAAAAAGAAAAAAGAAGGCAATGTCATTGATTAAAGTGAGTGTTTCTGAATCCTTTATTATTACTGTTAATTACTTGGTTAGAATAATGCCTAATACTGAGGAGCTAACCTCAAGCATGTGGAGGTAAACTGATGTTGGTGATAAGTGCCAGAAGCATGCTTGCAAGCAGGGGAGTTGTTTTGTATTTTGTGCTCAGATAGGGTGATTTTTTTTTTGTCTACGTTAAAACGTTTTTGTGATTTTTAATGTCTATGCTAAAAAGTGCTGAGTAAGGCAGGTCCTTTCAGGTGGATGGTATGTGCTCGTGCCATTATGTCTAACCACTAAGTTATGCCTGCAAGGGCTTGGAAGTTGCACAGGCTTGTGTTTCCTGGCCTTCTGTATTTCTTACTCTGCAGGGACTTGACCTTAGTTTTCCTTGAGTAACTTTCTCTTACTGCTTAACAGGCTTGGTCCTTGATCTTCATGTTACACCAGTTTCCTACTGTGCAGAGGCTGCTTCAAAAGTAATACCTCATATTTTATAATGTTGGCCACAGTGTCAGAAGCGGGTGTTGGAGGTATGGCAGGTAAGGTTGAACCCTCCACCAATATTCTATTACGTGTTGTTGCTATGTGACAGATGTCAGCAGAGGGCAGTCTGACAGAATGGTGTCTGACATGGAAGCTCAGAGAAGGCATAGTTTTGTCACTGAATTTTTTCATGTGGAAAAAATGCTACTGACATTCACTGGCACTTGCTGACTGTTAATGGAGACCAAGCAGTGGATGTGAACACGGTGAAGCAGTGGGTGGTGCATTTCAGCAGTGGTGACAGTGAGTCACTTCTGTTGGAGCAGATGTTCCTGAGTGTGGCATGCAGGCTCTGGTTCATGGCTGGCAAATCTGCATAGCTAATGGTGGTATCTTGTGTTGAAAAGAGTATTTTGTAGCAGAGAATTTACTTGGAAGAGTCCTAGGTTTGATCTGACCTTGGCCAGGCCAGGACTGACTGGTGACCTTCCCCTTCCCCTTTTCTGTGTACCTCTGCATGGTAGTTTTCTAACTACCCTACCTTTGCAGACAGATGGAAGTCTGCTTTGGGGGAGCTCTGGAGAGAAAAGAGCCTGGTGTGGTCAGAAGAGGAAAGGTGCTGCTAATTGCTTCTGGGGTATCTGATCCCCAAGAGGAAGATGCTGCTCGGTGCTGTCACCCAAACCCCCACTGCAGTTGGCACCAAGGGTATGAAATACTAGGGTGATGGAAAGAAAAGTGTGTGGCTTCACGTGGTGCAGGAGTGGTATTGCTTAGCCAACAGATCACTTACCCATCAATGGTCTAGTTCCAATTTTCTTATTTTTAAACAATGTCTTCTAGTCCTTTCACTTTTTTCATTCTCTATTCCTAACTATTAACTTTTCTTGAATATCAGAAACCGCACAGGTTCTTCCCCTGTGTTTTTCTCTGGCTCCTTCCTTATTTCACGTGAGCTTTAAAGCCCCCCGTAATGTCACATGTTCCCATCCATAGTGTCACTGTTCACTCGGATTCAAGAGGATGGCACTTGCCTTTGGCCAGTGATGCCAGTCTGCATCACTCTTACAGTCAGTTTGAAAAGGGCATCCTTATGCTTTCCTCCATACCATCTCCGGAAGTCAGCAAATTTACATCACTGTTTTCTGTCCTCGAGGTGTTATCTGCCAACCTCCCACAAACATCCCAGAAAAAATGAAGCAAAACAAGGAGCCTTGAGGAATCGGGCTGCTCTGACCTCCGCCTAGCTCTCAGACCACACTGCACGTTAACACCCTCTGCTTCCAGTATTCTGCCTCTGTAAGAGCAGTTCTTGCCTGAGGCTGAAGTCTGTGCAGCTGCTGTCCCGGAGCGCGCAGCCTCTAACGCTGCTGAGGCAGTGCAGCCGTGCCCGTGAGCTCGGCGCCCAGCAGAGGGCGCTGGAGGCCCGCGGATGGCCCTCACCGCGCTGCCGGCATTTCGCCTCTTGTTTTTCTGAACCCGTGAAAATAGACATTCTGTGGTGGTTTATTTTATTTTACTTTTATTTTTTGTACTCGCTGTGCGGAGACGATTGTACTGTTTAAGGAAATGCTCTACTTTGCTAAAATTATGTCTAGGGATGTTGTTAAGCAGAGCAGCCTGCGTGCACTGCTGTAAATCAAGGGGGGCAATACGTTTCTGTTATGTTGTTAACTACGCAAACTCTGCGTACGTGAACATTTGTTTAAAGACAAGCTGGGGGCAAAATCAGCTGTGTTCTCCATCTGGATGTGATTTTTTTTTTCTTCAGTACATCTGTTTAATAGCTGCTGGTTGCATTCAAGTGCTGTGATGATGTTGTTTCCAAACTTTGCGCTTGAGTTTGGGAAAGGCTGATGTTTTCTGATCCAAACACATCCTACTTTCAGTGAGGCTGTGTGTCTGAGTGCATAATAGGACAGTCACTTCTTCATTAGAAAAATGAAATGCAGAACTGAAAAGTTTATTCTGACAGTTCGGCATGGGAAGCTGACACTAGAGGACAGCAAAGAAGTAGTTGAGATGTGCTCTTATCTCTATGTTTGCAGATGGAAATTGTCATGGAGCTGAGCTGAGATGGTGAATATCTGCAACTTGCAGCTGACTTATAAGTTCTCTCTTTCAGTGGATTGTTAGAAGATCTTTTTCTCTCTCTCCTGCGCCTCTTGTTACCACTGTAGGGAAAGGGTTACTTCTCCATCTGCCCACCTCTAATTTGAGTTAAAGGTGAATTTTTGCTACACCTCTGAAGCAAAACCTTCATTTTTCTCATCTAAAATACATCACTTGAATCAGAAAATTAACTTCCACTCTTCTAAAAACCAACCAAACAAGAAACCAACTCACCAGCAAACGTATTTTAAAAGAAGTGCTTCTTCAAGTGCTCCTTTCTGCCTGTGAGAAGAGCTTGAGCATTTCTGTCATCCCTTCCCCCCGTCAGTGATATCATGCAGTACTTCAAATCTAAGGATTTCTCCTGATTATGACAGAGGTAGAATGGATTGCAACTTTTGCGACAACTTTTGCACACTGGTGATGATACCTGAGGAGGACTGTGCTTGGAGGGTGACCTATCAGTTGTGCTGCTAAGCTGGGCGGAATCATCATGCAGTAGTCCTTGAAGGAAGTCAAAGAACATCACTCCCAGAATATTACTTTCACAGTCTGTAAGTCAGGCCTAAGTCATTTGTTTTGTCTAGGAAAAAGCATCTTGTAGCATTTCTCACATTACAGGTAAAAGCAGAATACAAAATAAGAAGGGTCAGGCTTCCAGGGCAGTAGTTGGTGTGAAGGTGCTTCTGCTGGATGTGCTTGCCATTCTCTGCTTTTTGGAGGAACTGGACAGCAAAGCAAGGAGAAGTACTGGAGCACTGAACAACCATGCTACAGCTGTGGGGTGGGTAGGATGCAGCATGTTCCACAGGTGAGAGTTTTGAAGTAGGAAATGTACCTTCTGCTGAAGGCTTGAGCTTTTTTCTTGTTCAACTTTTTGTAACCCTGTGTTGGAGATGTTTTAACAGCCTTCCAAGTATACTGTAATGCTGCTGACTTTTAACCCCCAGAAAACTCTTTAAAGCCAGTGAATACCTGTGTGCATCTCTGTGTGCATTCAAGCGTGTCTTTATGCAATACAAAGACTACAAGACCAGTCCTGCTTCAGTTCTTTGTTTGAACTATCTTCCTGTAGATGTTTCATTGATAAAGGGAACATTTGTCAGAATTTTATAACCAATGCTGTAGAACTCAGGCCCAGGTATCCAAAGTTATGTTGGTCACTGCAGCTGGTGGAGCCTCAGCCTCTATGGAAGACACCCACCTGCAGTACATGCTACTGTGTGTAAGCTGGACATCTCCCTCCAGACACAGAGTGCCTTAGAAGAGTCATAACAAGTCAGAGCCACATATGCTTGCTGCTGATTAAAACTGTCTCTTGCTGAAGCAAAATGTAATTGCTCTAGTGGAGGCTCAGAGCTTACAGGTTGTTTTCTGAGTCTGTTGTGCATGGACTGAAAATATCTGAGTGAGGACCTGGCAGAGCCGATAAGGGGCACTTGGGCTGCCTCCTCCCAGTGCCTCCCGTTCAATAGCCCATAGATTGCAACTTCAGATCTCTCTACAAATATCTCTTCAGTAGATGTGTTTAGTGATGCTCACCTTTCTCAAGATATCTGGTCACCTATTATCTCCTGAAAATGTCAAATCATTCCCCACAAAGCAAGGAGGATGGTCTATCCCTCTGCTGCGTATTCCACCAGCTAGGGAGGCAAAGCAGGGCAGAAGGCTGCTACAGGGAGCTGCTGCTTCCAAATGCATGCACTAAGTGTGTAACAAATGGTTCTGCCTTTTAGGATTTTTCCCAGGAAAATATTTTTTTCCTTAAGCATGTAACTTAAATCTGTCTGAGCAGTGAATTGGCTTACAAAGCAGGGAAATTGTATGATTCTCTGAAATCAGAGACAGTCTTTCCAAAGGTTATTTACCGTATGCCTGAAACCCACAATGTGTAATTTAGAAACAGAGGGCTCTTCTTGCAGCATTTGTACGTTCAGACTAATATAGTCTGGGGTTAAAACGAACACAGTCCAATGAACCTATCATGTTTATTTGTTCATTTTATAGATGTTACAGTGGGCATGGGGTTACCTTTGTGAAACAAAAGCAGCAGTCAGGTCTTAGCTTTTGGTATATTTTCTAAATGGAATGCAAATACACTTCCCTATTATTTAACATTACTGCTGATCACAGAAGAAAGAAAAGAGAGGGAAAGACAAATTACCTAACCTGTGTTGCTGTAATGCATTACCTGCAGATATTAAAGCTCCATTTTGTTCCCTTTTTATTGAGCTATGAAAATAAGATACTTCACTCCTTATTGACTTTGAGCATTTTTGTGTCCATATTGATTTGAGCAATTTTCACTTTTCTGCCTGTGTCTCTCAAGTTATATAAGCTGCACAGCTCCTGTGCACCAGATTTGATTTTCATCCATGCAGAGACAGCTTAATTAAAACATTTTTCTTTCCCACTCCAAAAGAGCTCAGGAGGAACAGAGATATTTTCTTACCAGAACCATGTCTATATACAAAGTCAAGATTTTCTTGGACCTGACACCAGCTGGCAGTGTTCATCTAAGCATGCTGATTTGCATTTTATGAGCTTTAAATCTCTTGCTGTATTCTGATTTCACTTCCCTCAACTTGAACACTAGGTAGAGTCAGTCACATTTTAATTTTCCTGAGTTTTGTAGTGTAACTGAACTGTGTGGCTGTGATGGGGCCAGCATGGTCCTATGAGCTCTGCATCATCATGCTGCACTGTTGTATGGTGAGTATGACATCAAAGCGCATTCCATCCTGCACTGGTCTCTGCTCTGCAGAGCCTAATCCCTGCTGGAGGTAGGTGATGGTCAAAGCTGCTAACCTGTTCTGATGCTCAAAAATTTTCCCTCTTGTTGCTGCAAAAGGGGAAGTGTAAAAGCACATGTGTTTGAGGAGTGGAGTCTTAAACTTCTGTTGACTTCGCTGCAGCAGATTAGTTGAAGTGTCCCATTTATTACTGCACACAGAAGTCTAAAAAGCCCTCCTGACAGCTGTGGGGTGTCCGCTTCGTTTTTTTCTCTGCCAGAACAGAAGTCGTGGAAGGGCTTGGCTTTAATACTGGATTGCTTCTGTGGAGCCTTTGTTACGTGCTAGGTGCTAAATAACCACTGACAGCAGTGAGCAAGCTGTATGTCTTCACTGCTGTATATCCTCCTCCACGTATTCTGCCAGGCTGTGGAACAAAGAAAGCACACAAAATGAAATGGAGAGGAAAGCAGAGGAACAGATTATGAAAAGATTTTAGAGGCTGAATGCCTGATGTTTGTCCACCTTAGAGGTGGTCCTTTTGCAGAAGAAACTGCTCTCTAGTGTTTAGATATCCTATAGTATTCTGCTGTTGGCAGTGGAAGAACTAATGCTTAGTGTAAGGGAGGGTGAGGGAGAAATGGTTTTCTGAAAGAACTGCATACCCCTGTCCAGAAGGGTGGTACCAGTTACAGAGGTGGTACCTTTGTGATGATGAATGAAAGACGAATGTTTAGATTCCTTGAGATTCTTCAGAATTTAACAGTAAACTCAGGGATAGTTTTGCTAAGACAAACAAGGATTTCTAAAAACAAACAAACAAAAAAACTCAAACCCAAAATAAAACAAATAAAACAAAATTACCACAGTTTGGGAAAAGGTTTGGATGGCTGTAATTGGCAGCAGGTATAATGTTTGAGTTGTGTGTTTAATCTTGGCATTTGAGTAATATAGATTGAGTTAAACTCTATCTAGTATACTGTTTAACGTTTTAAGCTCTATGCTATTATATACTATAATAGTATATTTAATACTCTTAAAACAGTGGATTAGGTAGAGTTGTTGTCTTCAAAGAGCTTGCACACATTTCTTCGGGTCTTTTCTCCTTGGATTTAAGTACATGAAGGATTTTGTGTGCAAGATATGCTACTTGTTGAACCAGTGTCTGACCTAAGATGCTGGATGTTACAGAAGACCAAAGGAAGAGTAAAAGAATAACATCGTTGACAAGCCTATTAATACTGTTTTCTGCTGTGCCAGAGCATGAAGAAACCAAGCCTTCCTGGCATCCCCACCTGACTACTTTTTCCCCTATTTTTCATAGATTGCACCATCAAAATGAAGTCAGCCCTAGGATACAGTATTGCTTTGCAAAGATGCTGTAGGCAAATATTGGAAAGTGCAACCCAGATGATCACAGGTGGAGCTGATGACAGAGCTAGAGGCAAAAGCTCTTCTGCTGGTGCATAGGTTTTTCTGCCAGGTGGGCTCCATCCCACCTGTGGGTTTGTTGTTGTGACACTGGGGGAATGTCACCAGGTAAACTGACCTCTGAATGGCCATGTATTTGTTATTCCTGTTGGCCCTGTTCTGATGCCTTCTGTCTTGAGCAGAACTGTAGTTTTAGGTGACTTCCTTCTGATTTTTATCTTCATTCTGGCCAGCTGCTGTGTTATGCTTTGGTTGTATGCTTATGAACTTCCTTTTTAGTAGTTCAGAAGTACAATTGTGATTAAGTCTTCCTACTTACTAAATGTAGACTCATAAAACTGAACTATTTTCACATTTTTTCCTGCATGTAGTATTCACAGTTGGACAATACTGCTTTACTTTTAATATTGCAATAAAATGTCTCTATTTCATGTCATAGTTGAATGGAGTGGATAACAGACAGCAAAGTATTTTCCTATTCAGGCTGGTCTTTCTCTCCTTTCATGCATTATCTGAAAACAGGTCAGAGTTTCCTAATCAGTTTGGCTTTCTGTGAATATCTATAAAATTTGGATACAATTACATATAATGTTTAGCATTTATTCGGCCTCTCAGAAAAAGAGAGATCTGAGCTTTTTAGCAGATACGATCATGGTCTAGAAAAGATGGAAAATGAACAGATTGGAGTTCTTTGTATGGGCAATTATTCTTATGGATGTGTGTCTGATGCCATGAGCACTGCATAGGGGAAACTCTGCCCTGTGTAATTCTGACATCTTCTTTTCACCACAGTCAATCAGAAGTGCACACAAATTAATTAGCCCTTTTTAAAAAGCAAGTCCTTAATTAGGGCCTGTCGCTGTGGTAATGACATCCAGTTCCTTGAGGGCTTGTGAGGTAGTTGCTGATTTAAGGATATCTTTGTGTTGTAAGCATGTATATGAGGGAGTATTTGGAAAGCAGTAAGCAACTCTAACCTTTTCAGAGGGCATGTTTATTTGATTGCAACATAAAGCACTGTAAAATCAGCATCCAACAGCTGGGAAAGGTTGTTCCTTGTGTGTATTCTGGTATACACAAGCTATGCTTAGGTTTTGAAGAGGATACTACTTGGGAAGGTTTGCTATATTTAAGAGTTGGTGTCAGCTTCTAAACTGATAGCTTATTGGGAGCACGTGCATGAATTTCATGTAATGTGCTCCAATGGGAACAGGGGACAAGTGCTACATGTGTACTGTTACCTGGGGCTTCACTCATAGCAAAACCACAACACAAGAGGCTGTTAATTGTGCATGTGAAAGGTAAAGTTCAGTGTTGGGGGTGGAGGATGAGATTTCTGGAAAACATTAAGCGTGAATAACTCATAGCTCATCAGAAAAAGATTAGCTCCTACTACGCTCGATGTAGTGTTTGCTGTCTTAATGCTGAAGTTAAGTGCCAGATCCTGCAGGACTGCTGTTTTGTGGTAGAAGGGAAAATGATTTAGATTACTTTTCTCATCTGCAGTTATTTACCCAAACAGCGACATAGCCTCCCCCAGCCTCTTTTGACAGATGTCACTAAAGTTCATGGTTGTTTCTTTTTCCTTCACCTTGCAAGCCTGGCAGTGCTGTGTCTTCTGGAGACTTGTGGGAGATGACGCAGTCCCAACATTCATCACAAGTTTTGCAGAAGGATTACGTTTGTTGTGTTTAAAGACAATCACAGGTTTTAAAAGAAAGTTGAGTGTTTTCCATACCTTAAATTTAGGTTCCATCTACGTCAAACTCTTGATTTCCAGGAAGGATGAAGACCACGCTCTGCATGATTATATCAACATTGGATTTTTTAAGTTAAACACTATCTAGCTAAATGCAAAAGCCCTTGAAGAAACTGCTGACCTTTTGCATGATTACAGCCTCTGCCCTGCTGAAGAGCCATAAATGAATCATCCTGCAGTGAAATGTAAACAGGATGCTACTCTTCCATTGCAGCTTTGTTTACCAACATGTGCTCATCCGAACTGCAGTGATGTTAAATTAGGTGACAACAGCAGTTTGTAGCAATGTAGGAATCCAGGGTCATAGCTGTGGGAGTGGGTGTTGCTCCCTTTCTCCAACCTCTTACTCCCAGTGCAAACTAAATCCAGTTTTCATCCTCATCTGCCAGATCTGAATAGTCTTATTCTGAGAGTACTTACGATGAGAGTTAGCAGTTATGTCTGAAGTGCACAGTGTGTGTGAATTGGAGCTATTCCTTCTGTTCAGGTTTCACCTGGAGCCACAGAACCCAACCAAGTCTCACAGCAAAGTGAGAATGGTTGTCTCTCTATTCTCCTGCCAGGTTTCTTTCCCACATGAAAGAATAACAGCAAGATGCCAAAGTAAATCCTAAAAGTTCAAAGAACATGAAACTAGGGAGCCAATATACCTGTATTGGTTTGTTTCATAGCCATACAAGTTGGCTGTGTCTCCTGCATTTTTTCTGTGGTTGGTGTGGGTGAAACCATGGAAATCTGGCTCTGTCTTTTTGTCTCCTGTGATTGTTATAGCAACAGGGAAGCAACCAGAAAACTTGATGGTGGATTGAATCAGAGTGAGTTGCAGTTGAGCCAAAATGGATCAAGAAAGACTTAGACAAATTGATAGAAATAGATTGAACACACAAACTTTGCCTCTATATGTACAGAATTTAGGAAGCTGAGGTAATGTCTTATGGAAATACCACTATAGCTCAATTGTTCTTGCACTTGTGCTTCTGTTCCCAGCTGTTAGGGGAGGCAGGATTCTCAAGTGGATCTCATCTGACTATGAAATTATTCTTACATGTAGATCTAATGAGTCTTGGATTCTTGATAACAATTTTTTTTCTGTGCTGAGTTGACTTTATAATGATTTTGGATTCTGTTGTGCTTGTGATTGTGATTCAGACTTTAGAATAGGGCACTGGCTTTTTGGGCTGGTCATCCTGCCACTATTTCAGGGTCTGAGACTTTAAAATTGTTTAGTATGAAAGCTACCTCCAGTATGTAGCAAAATTGTAGTATAGTGTGATGGCAAATTGGGAGACTGTTGAGCAGTGAAGATCATGGATGAAGTTGCTTTAGAGAATGAGGAATAAAAGGGTTCAATGGTATGCTGTTGTCTGTAAAAAATGGAATTCTCAATTTCAGTTGTTGTAATTCCTGGGAGTCTGTGCCCAGTTTGCTCTTTCCTGTGGAGAAAAGGAGAGGTTAGGATATCAGAGGCAACATTAACAAAGCTGCTCCCAGTTGTCCAAAAGGGGTTTCTGAGCAGGACTCTATTCCCAAAGTGTTTCAATCCTTCTCTTTTGCTTTCTAGGGAACAACTGAAGTTAAAATCCTGAGGATAGTGCTTTAGAATGGTAAAGTTTGTTTCCTGACTTCCCTCTTCCGAAATTAAAAAAAAAAAAACAAAAAACGTTGGCTACAGAGATATTTACTCTAATTTACAACCAAAGCATGGAGTTAAACAGGATGGAAGAAACTGTATGCAGAAATCTGAAGTGATCCTGGCTTGGAGTACGGCATTAGGTCAGCTCGCGTGAGCCAGCTCCACGTGCTGATGAGTCCTTCTCCCTCCTGCCTGGTGACGTCTATGTTTGCTCAGGAGACAGAAAACATGGGAGCAGAAGAAGAGACACGGACATTTTCTCTACTAGATGTATAAAAATGAGCAAATCTCCACAGAAAGCTTCCACGTTCTCTTTTCTCCTTGGTTACAATTCTTCTTGGGATGATGTTGGGGAAAGTTCTGTTTTTGTGGTCTTGGTTTATTTTTTTCCTTTAATTATTTTTTTATTAGGAACTATTTTATTTTTTTTAGGAACAGCATTGTGATCTTTGTAAAATATGATCTATGCTGAGGCTTGTTGCTATCTGCAGAATGCCAGGAATTAGCCGAAGGTTCTCACTCAAATTAGGGCTTTTGTACACATCACAGTTTTCAAAGTTTGCATGCTGATATGAATGTCTATGTGCTGCAGATTCCTGAGAGAGAGAACACTGTTCCAGAAATGCTCATTAGGTGACTTATAATTTTCTATTAAGAAGCATACTTGGACCATAAAGAGCTAAGTATGCCAATAAAAGAATAATTTTCAAGTTTAGGATTTGAAAATTTTAAAGCCACGTCATGGGATCTGTTTCAAATTATGATCAGCGAGTCCTAATTTCTACAGCAGTAATATGTGGGGAGAGAATTTCACAAACATCAATTCAATTGCAGTTGCAAAGTGATCTTGTTTATGCTGCACCAGTTGGAGTATTCTTAATGTAATCTTTCCATAGACAGGTCCTGTGGCGCACATCCAATGCCAGTTTTTGCCATTGTAATTCCTGTTGTTTTACTCTAGGCTTTGTATTACCATAACATAGAAAATTGCATCCTTGACCAGCCAAGATGATGGAAAGAAGAAAACTCCTAGTCTGTCTTATATTCGCTAGCCATCTCCATATCTTAATCCAGGGTTAAGATGCAAATTGCAGTTTCATAGGACTGACAGAGCCCATTTACTACACTGCTGCTGTTTAGTAACGACTTTACTTCCAGGTGGGTGCCTGCTGGCTCTGTGGTACTCTGTCTGCTGAAACAATATGGGTGCAGTAAGTGCAATACCAGACCTGCTGCTCACCAAAGCAAGTGAACTGATTGCTGACATCACAATTGGAAGCCGCCTGGGATATGGTCATTTTGCAGTGATGAAGTTCACACTCCTGAGGAATATAGGACAAAAAGTAAAATCAGCATGCTAGATTTTAGGAGAGCCAAATTCCAGCTCTTCAGGGAGTTAATTGGCAAAACCCCCTGGGAAACTGCCCTCAAGGACAAAGGAGCAGACAAGAACTGGCAGATCCTTAGGGAAGCTTTCCTTGCAGCACATTGTCTTTCCACCCCCATAGGCAGGAAGTCAGGAAAGGAAGGCAAGAAACTAGAATGGCTGAACTGAAACACACTGGTAAAACTGGAGAGTAAGAAGAAAATGCAGAGGTACTGGAAGCAGGGACAGGTGGGAGGATTGAGGGATGCTGTTAGGCTGGGTAGGGATGGGGTCATGAAGGCCAAGGCTCAGCTGGAACTGAAATTGGCAAAAAATACAAAGAATAACAGGAAAGACTTCTTTTTTTTTATCCTGGAATATATACTGGAATATTCTGGAATATTCTTTTTTTTATTCTGGAATATATACATATGCTTATCTATATATCTATGCACATGAAAGAGAGGGAATTGATACAGGACCAACCTAGTAGCCTTCTATGATGCATAATTACATCAGTGGATGAAGAGCCACTGATGTCATCTGTCTGGACTTCAGTAAGGCCTTTGTCATGGTCTCCCATAACATCCTCCTCTCCAAAGTGGAAAGATATGGATTTGAAGAGTGGACTGTTCAATGGATGAGGATCTGGATCATACACAGAGGGTAATGGTCAATAGCTCAATGTCCAAATGGAAATTAGTGACAAGTGATAAGCCTCAAGGGTCAGTACTGGGACCAGTGCTCTTTGACGTCTTCATCAATTGACATTTCAATCAAGTGCAGCTTCAGCAAGACTGTGTACAGCATTGAGCTGTGTGCTTTGACTGACACACCTGAGGGATAGAATGCCATTTGGAGAGATATGGGCTCAAGCAGTGAGGCAAGGAGTACATAAAGAAGTTTAATAAAGTCAAGTGTGAGGTCTTTCACCTGAGTTGTGGCAACCCCCGCTAAAAATACAAACTGGAGGAGGAAAGGATAGAGCACACCCTTCTGAAATGAACTTGGAGGTACTGGTGGATGGCAAGCTGGACATGAGCCAGCAATGTGCTCTCACAGCTCAGAAAGCCAAGTGGATCCTGGACTGTATCAAAAGAAGCGTGGCAAGCAGAGTGAGGAAGGTGATCTTGACCCCCTGCTCTGCACTGGTAGGGCCTCACCTGGAGTACTGCATCCAGATGTGGAGTCCTCAGTGCATGAGCTGGAGTTTGTCCAGAGGAGGGCCACAAAAATGATCCAAGGAATGGCTCATATGAGGACAGTCTGAGAGAGCTGGGGCTGTTCAGCCTGGAGAAGAAAAGGCTCTGAGAAGACCTGAGAACCTTCTTCATCTAAAGGGAGACTGTAAGAAAGAGGGCAGCAGACTCTTTAGCAGAGTTTGTTGTGACAGGACAGGAGGAAATAGTTTCAAACTAAAAGAGGGGAGATTTTGATCACATATAAGGATGGGTGTCCTATCATTTAAGACATTCAAGGTCAGGCTGGATGGGGCTCTGAACAACCTGATCTAACTGTAGGTGTCCTTGTTCATTGCAGGGCAGTTGGATCAGATGACCTTTAAAGGTCCCTTACAGCTCAGACAATTCTATGATTTTGTGAGTTTTCCCTGAACTGGCTCAGATGTACCTGACTGCCTCAGTGGGGCTGAATCAGCTCATAATATAGGGAAAAAAAATGTGTTCATTTTATTTTTTATATTCCTGAAAACAGAACTGAAGAATGCCTGTAAGCTGTTTCCTTTCCACATCTTGTAAAATGTCATCCTGATTGTCAAGCAGAACCAATCCACTGCATGCATTTTTTTTTTTTTTAATGAGTGTCTGCAGCTGATACTCTTCCATGCACATTTGCGTTAGCGTGACCCATAAGTGTAACATCTCATAAATCACCAACGTGATCTGAAGCTGACTGAGCCAGGAGGAAGCACACTGACTGCATACAAATGGTGTGTTGTTTGCAAATTGTGTGACTGATGGAAGTGAAATGCTCTTAGTGCGTATCCTGACAAAGCTCATTGCTTGTCTGTTTTATGATGTTTTGAGATAATAGACTCAAACCCAGACTTTTAAATATTAAACAATGAAGTAGTTCAGAAATGATAAAGAAAACAAAGACAAATTAACTATGTTGATATCCTCTACTTTTGTTCTAAATCAGAGCTCCTTTGCATTCATACAAACAGGATAATTAAGAAAAGTATGTGGTTGGCAGAGGGGGGTCAGCACAGGGCAATTTGTTAAATGTAACCATTGTTTGTTAAGAAGAAGATGATGCAGATAAGGTGCCTTCAGCCAGGGGAATGGATCAGGACAACCTCCATGCTTGTCATATCCAGCCTTTCATTTTCTTTCACTTCCTCCTCAGTTGCCCACATCATTCTGCTGTTCTGGTGCCAGTGAACAGTTCTGCCTCTTTGGCAACCAGTCAATCTTCCTAGCACCAGAGGCTCACGCCAGAGCTGTGGTGGGAAGGGAACAAGATAGTAGAGGCTGTGCAAATGCTGATGCTGGCAACAGACTCTTTTCTGGATGAGAGTCTTGAATCTTGATTTCCTGGAGACTGGTTATCCATAAAGGAGAACATTATTCTATGAGTCTCAGGTTTAGTAGTGAAAATGAAGAATTGACAACTGTATTTCCTAAAAAGTGCCACCATGATATCAGAGGGTTTAGTCCATGGCAAGCTGTCCATCCTCCTGAGTGTCATAGGGCTGCTCTTGAATTGGAATCCCCATGCATGCTTCTAGAAAGCACCACCATCACAAGACCATCCTCCTATTCCTCAGTTTTGCCAAAACTAAACCAAACTTTTCCCAGGGCTATCATTTATTTAGACATTTTGAAATAAATGTACAGAACAGAAAAAAATCCAGATAATAAATCAAATCTCAATTTATTTAGATAGAAAACTCATCCTTCCTTCTCCTCTCCTTTCTTCTGTCCTCTGAATGTTTTCAGGGACAGAAGGAACTAAAAGAATGGGAGGAAACAGTAAAGGGGTAAAACACAAGGAAGTGCATCTAGGAAAGGAAGTTAGCTTCTTGCTGTAGGAAACTTGCAGCAAAAATATACCATTATTTATTAAGACTGCTTTGTGCTTTCTGTTAGAAGACGTTATAGCTTCTTTTCTAGGCATCAGCTGCATGCTCTTGAAATTATGGCCTCAAAAAGATTCGTGTACTTATTTATTTTTGAAGGGCATTATTTTGCTGGAAGGTTGTAGGCAGAAGACATTCGGTTCCCACCCATGGAAATGATGCAAGTGGCGGAGAAAGAAAACCAGAGAATACAAATTTTTCTAAGCTGGGGAATAAAAATACCCTTGGGGTGTGAAGTGGAGGTTATAAAATGGTGTTAAAGGGAATGATGAAGCTGGGATGAGGTCATGTTGAGTGTGAGGAGAAGAAAGGATTACACCTGATTGGGCAGAAGGGTCTGAGTTACCATCTTTTTACTGGGGAGTGTGGGAAGGGGCTGAGTAGACTAAATCCATACCTTTATATTTGTACTCAGGTGGTGTAATGAGGTGTGCCTCAGGAAAGCTTCTTGATGTTGAATGCAGTTTCCATAGTGGGCCACACACAAGTCATGAGGGCATGTCCTCAACCAGGAAAATCAGAAATCATGATTGAGCAAAAACATTTGTAGGGAAAGGGCTGGCTCAACAGCACCACCCAGTCAGACAGCTCTGGACAAAAGTTCATAGTGGTCTAGAATTTCAACTCCTGACGCCTTCCGTTTAAGCATCTGCTCTTTCTGTAGAAGACAGAAACAGAATGAAAATGTGAAGTCTAGGTGGAAAATGCTGCATGGGAGCCTCTTATCTTGGATAGAGAGAAGGTAAAAGGATATGGCCCAGCTGCTTGGCTAAGAGATAATTTCTGGAAAGGGCAAGGAGGTCTGTGAAACTACGTGCAGCCTAAGC